CATTTGTGTGGTGAATATATTTCCGTCTCTATGGCAACGCGGTAGCGGTTGTATGCGCTTCTAACTACGGCAGCCCAAATAAGTCAAAAAGCTTCTCAGTAGCTCAAAACATCAATCAAAAGCTTGAATAAACATAGCAAATCCCTCTTATAGGAAATACAGAAAAACACAGGAATTTCATGGAGAAGATATTTAATATATATATATATATATATATATATATATATATATATATATATATATATATATATATATATATATATATATATATATATATATATATATATATATATATATATATATATATATATATATATATATATATATATATATATATATATATATATATATATATATATATATATATATATATATATATATATATATATATATATATAAACAGTAATATAAACATATGACTGTGAATTTACAGTTCTAAAATTTCAGGTTTTTTAATAATAATAAAATATAATGCATATAATAAAAAATATTTTCTCTTTTTTTTTAATCAATCATATTTACAAAGAACCCCATAAAATCCTTACTGCTAAAGGTAGATGGGATGGATGGTTCTGCAACTGTATTAAAAATATATTTAGGATTATTCTTCTCTATGTTCTCTCAATTTTGTTTTATGTCAAAACCCTGCGAATTTAAATCTAGTTTGACCACTCAGCAGGGGTAACAAAGGGGGTACATTTTTAGAAATAAAGCCAAAATTGCCAAAGTTGAAAGAAGATTGTTTTTGTTCTTTGCTTTTTTGGAGTAATGAAGATTTTATTGACCTGTGTGTAATGCATAATTCATAGTAGATCAGAAAGTGTTTGCTTTACAATGGAAACCTTATATATGCTTAAACCATTCCTTACATTTTGTCAGCTTGTACAATTGTTGAAGAGGCCCTACTTTGTGATTTGTAAAAGTAAATTTTAAGATTACTCCTTTTTTGTTCCTAATTCCATTGACATATTACACAGCTTCTTTAATTTTTGAAAAAAAATGTTTAATGTTTTTTTTTTTTTTTTACTTCAGAGGTTTTAGATAAGAGTGAAATTCAATTAGGAAGATGTTAAAAACTAGGGGTGTTTTATGTAAAATTACATCACTGACTTTCTTTTTCTTTTTTTTTTTTTCTTTTTTTTTTTACAATAATATTCAGGACCTTATTATCTCTAGAAATCTTCAGATTCTGGTATGAAAAATAGATTCAGGTCTAATTTGTTGGTTTTATCCCGGAGTCCTTGTAGTTATAGTATCTGTTCAGCAGGTGGCAGCAACGGGCGACTAGAGCGGCAGGGCGCGGAAACGGAAATACGTAATTTTGTCTATTTGTGTTTGTCAGAACAAAAGCAGTGGAACTGACACATCTGCGTGAACTCTTCAATTTACCGCCCTGCTTTTTTTTTTACCCGGTTTATATTCAGTTCTCCATAATAACTAAAAACACTTCTATGAAATATAAAATGGTAATCTAACAAGCTTGTTTCTGGTTATTTAATTCTGTGTGCGACCTATGTTGTATTTTTAAACAGCTGCAGGTAGGGCAGAAGGGTTCCTTTATACAGTAATACATTTTGTAAATGCTTTTTTGTGTATTAAATTATCATTAATAATTCATATTTAAACGCATGAATACATTTGTTGTATTGTTGACGTCAATTTTTTTTTTATAATAAAAGTGGTGTAATCATCTTACAGAAAACTTTTTTTTTGTTTATTTTTTTGTTGTTGTTGTTTTTTTTGTGTGCAATACACTATGTTCTCAAAGACCATTAGAGATACACCAGCAGCTTCAATGTTCCTTACTGCAGCTTTTAGTAGCAATATTTTAATTCAAACTGGAGTACAAAAATATACACAGGTCCTTACTGTTGTCTTTTTGGGAAGAAACACCCATCTGCCTAACATGTTACATGTTAAAGAGATTAGTTGAAAAGGATGTTATTCTTCATCCACCTAGCCACCAAAAACGGGAATAAACAACTGGTTTCTTTGGTGAGCTTTAAACATGAATCAGAGTAATATTTGAGCATTTAAAATATATTGCTGGCTTTACATTTGAAAGTATAAAACATAAAATCCCATGGCACAGAAGCAACAACAGCTACAAATTCAAATCTATGCAAAACATGAGAAGTTTAATTTTGTAATTTCTAGCCTGAGGCTCTTAAAAAAAAAAAAAAACTGTTGGTAATAAACCACACATTTTCCAAAATTATTCCTATATACCCAAGTGACTATAGCTCTGACTGTCTGTCTCTCTGCCATGTAGCAGTCAAGGAAGCTCTGTGTCATCACACCTAAGACTGTCACGCCACACTTATTTGCTGGGCAATACAAACCTCCTGTCAGTGCAAAATTATCACACTGATTCAGTGTATATATATATATATATATATATATATATATATATATATATATATATATATATATATATATATATATATATATATATATATATATATATATATATATATATATATATATTATATGTGTGTGTGTGTGTACAAAAGACCCTTGAAGCTACAGTGTGTAACTTTTAGCAACATCTAGCGGTCAGACTGCAGCAACATGAACATCTCCCCCCCAACAGTACGGCGAGCGTTACGGGACAAAATGTCTTCCATGACGTCCGCATCACCTACCTTCTCAAGTGATGAGGTTTGTTTACATAGATAATTTTACAGATAGTATTTCATTAGTCTGTGTAGGGTATAGATTTCATGTAGACTTAAGATAATAAATATACCCGTTATTTTTTCTACATCATTGTGACGTTTTGGCAATCTCGCAATCGCTAGTTTGTTGGCTCTGCGCTGCCGTAGCGCAAAGATGTCTGCCTCCATGGCTGCGAGACCCGCTCCTATGTAATTATAAATAACGAATTTTAAGGCAACGCAAATATTAAGGTTAAGAGGCTGAGCTCGTAGATGATGATAAATAACATAGTTATGTATAATATATTACATTTCTGACTGTATTTCCCTGTAATTATTACACACTGTAGCTTTAAGTAGTTTAGGTTTCGATGTTAGGTACTGCTGTTTATATTCTGCAGTTTCTGCGCAGTGTTATTTTGGCCCTTAAGGCATGCAGAAGTTAGGACAGCGTTGCCCGTGACGACCGTTGCTGCTGCCGGTTGGAAAGTTCGGCAGTTGAGCCACTGAGCTAACACAGGGAAAGGACTTGACAGGAAATGACTTGTGTGTTCTTCAAATAAGTGTGCGTCACTGACGAGTAAGTTTAATATTTGAGTGTTTATGGCAGTTAAATGAGTTATTTTCGTTCTTAGTTACTTGTTGATAAGTCTTGGTTATCTGCTGTGTGTGTGTATTGTAGAGTGTTGTGCAGAACCTACGCATCCACTAGATGGCGCCAAGCCATGATTGTTAGCTAACGTTTGCTGATTAAAGCTACAGTGTGTAATAATTACAGGGATATACAGTCAGAAATGTAATATATTATACATAACTATGTTATTTATCATCATCTACGAGCTCAGCCTCTTAACCTTATTATTTGCCTTACCTTAGAATTCGTTATTTATAATTACATAGGAGCGGGTCTCGCAGCCATGGAGGCAGACATCTTTGCGCTACGGCAGCGCAGAGCCAACAAACTAGCGATTGCGAGATCGCCAAAATGTCACAACGATGTAGAAAAAATAACGGGTATATTTATTATCTTAAGTCTACATGAAATCTATACCCTACACAGACTAATAAAAAATTATCTGTAAAATTATCTATGTAAACAAACCTCATCACTTAAGAAGGCAGGTGATGCGGACGTCGTGGAAGACATTTTGTCCCGTAACGCTCGCCGTACTGTTGGGGGGGAGAAGCGGTGGGGGGGAGATGTTCATGTTGCTGCGGTCTGCAGTCTGACCACTAGATGTCGCTAAAAGTTACATACTGTAGCTTTAACAGGGTTAAACTTTTTAGAGTTTAATTATTTTCTCCTTAGCTTATCTATGGTGTGATGTGTAATGATAGGGTAATTTGAATTATCTTTCTTGTCTTGTTTTAGGAAACCACACACACACTTACACACGTACCTACCTGGAAATATCTTATGTTCATTTAATCAATTGGAATCCGAAATTGAGTTTGGAATACAGACCAGTTAAAGGATCCTGGCTCATGTCTTCATTCTCCACCTGCTGCACCTTCTCCTAACATCTAGTCCTGATTGAAATCCTGGCCTGAGTAGTGTTCTGGCCAACACTCCCGGTTGAGCAGTGATAAACCCGAACAGTACCTTACAGTCCTATAACTTACAGCAAACTCACCTACAATATATATATATATATATATATATATATATATATATATATATATATATATATATATATATATATATATATATATATATATATATATATATATATATATATATATATTGTTTTTTGTTTTTTTCTTTACTTTAATCATCACATAAACTTGGACTTAAACTTAGCTTTACTTATCCCTTGGGATTTCTTCTCAGGGAAATTCTGGTTTCAGTAGCTTATATAGAGTACAAAGAGTTATTAAAGCAAGATGCCATTAAAGGTATATATATATATATATATAAAAAAGAAATACAATATAAAAAGAGTGTATATTGTACCAAAAGAAAAAAAAAACACAAAAAAGGAAAAAGTTGTATTGTGCTGGAATATGTTTCCCTCAGATATAAAAATAATTGCACAATAGAGAGCTAAGGGGAGACTACAATGTAGTTGCAGAAATGTACTGACCATATATATTAGTGAAAAGTAAACCGACTACACTGTAGTTGACATTGTCAAATTGTCCAAAATACATCCTCAAACCAAAGGGGAAAAACACAGACTTACTTATTTTTCAGTTTTTCCTTTCTACGTTTTAAGTAAAGAGGAAATAAGAGGGCACTGGCCCCTGTTGCCACTGTCTAGAACCGCCCATGCGTTGTGTGAGTCAGCTGTTTAATCTTTCTGTAAAATTCGAGAAGCGCCTTTTATTTTGAAGGGTAATCTGCTGTTTCCGGTCAGATTGGCGCTGGTCTCCGTCGCTTTTATGGGCGGCGAAAAGGTGCTGCTAAATCTGGCAGCTAAATAGGTTTTAACTGTCGCTCCTTTGCAGTTCCAGTCGCCCGTCATGGCACCCTAAATGTTCAATGGACCCCTGCTTGCTAACTGACTGCATCCTGTCTGCGGCTGGCTGTAGGCGCTGACCCCTGGAGACACGAGCCGACCGAAGCCGCCGTGATGAGCTCGGAGCACCAGGGCGACGGTGACGACGCCGACGAGCCGCAGGATAGGCCCGGCAGCACCGGCAAGGAAGTAGACCCTGTCCCCCACCAGTCGGAGGAGGAAGACGTCGCCGCCAGGGAGGTCTGCGCTTCGCCGCCGGAGAGCAGTAGCGATGAACGGCCTAAGCGCAGCGGCTCTCCGCGGCTGGAGGACGGAGGGCGCTGCAGCCCGCCGGCCGCCGCTCCACAAGCTGGCGGCGGTGGGAGCTCCGTTAGCGAGAGCTTCAGGGGGAACAGCCTGTTTTCATGGCTGCAGAGGAGGACTATACGACGGGGGCTGTTCGTGGACCCAGCCAGGGATAACTTCAGAACAATGACCAGCCTGTACTGCTCCATGAACCCGGCCGTGGAGTCAGTTAATCTGAGCTCTCAGACCCACGGAGCTGTGTTCAACCTGGAGTACTCGCCGGACGGGTGAGTACTCCGATCTTTGGGACATCAATGTTAACACTAATTGTATGCAAAGTTACCTTTACCTGCATGATTAGTGCAGCAGCTTATGATCACAGCCAGGGTTGGAGCAGACAGCAGATGAAGGACCTAAATCCTGCAGCCAAATCGGGTCAAGCTGTCTGGTCTGGGTCATGTTTGTTTGTATGTTGCAGCAGTGAGTCCTTCCTGCACAGGGAGAACAATTAACGACTATCAACACAAAATGATCTACTTATTGCATATCATGTGCATGTGTTCAACACTATAGGAAGTCTGTAGTGGCACTGGCTTCAGCCTTATTGGGTCTTATTGTAAGGAAGTCCCCATGGTCATTAAAGCTGTGTGCTCAGCAGAAATCTCCCTCCTTTTTCTTATCTGCTGGATTTTAAAATCTCCAATATTTTCATGCTGGCATAAAGGCTTCTGTTAAAAGTTTCTCTAACTAATTAATTTTAAATGGGTCATTTGTTTTATGCTTTCTGTTGTTCACTTTTATTCCCTGTTTTAGTAATATTGCTTGATCAAACCCCTTTCTAACAATCTACAGTATAAAAAAGGTAATAACAGACACAGGTCTTCTGGTCATCAGCTGTCCTTTATTAGTGTGTAGGTCATAACTTAAGGACATTTTTTGCTTTTAATAGTATGAATGTAAACAAAATTCAGTGTATAAATGCTTATAAGCTATACTCATCAGCAGTAACAGGAATATATGCATGAAATTGATCTCTCTGTGTGTTGAATTTATATTATGAGTTTCTCTTTTTATGTTTTAGCTACTGAGAGTAATAAGCCTGTCCATGATATTTTAACAGGGATGCTTCTGGACTTGAAATGCAAACAAAAAATCTTTCCCAGTTTTTTAAATAAGTAAAAAAAATAAATAAATTCTGATGCACTTTAATGCTTGTTCTAGTTTTTGACTAGAGACTCTTAGAGATTCACTTCCATACACAAGGCTCATATTCTTATCTTCAGCTACCACAGTATACATGTCAGATTAAATAATACTACTTTTACTTCACCGATAGTATCTAGGTGATACTTTATTGTATATCTTGTACCATGTCCATTGGTTGTGCTGTTCTCTTGTACATCTCTTTGCAGGTGATGAAGCAGACTGAAGATGTTTTATCATTATCTCCCTTTTATCTCCTCTTTCTTTGATCTTTTCTCCTTTTTTTCCTGTTTTTCCTTTCCTGTTCTACTTGCATTGCAGTCTCCATATAATCTGTAAATTCCCTGCATAATTATAATATAGCTATTTATATGCATAAATCAGGCGGAACACTATGGCAATAGCCGTACTGCTCCACTTGTGAAAGTAAAATCTGTTGGGCTGTTTTTAGCATCAAGATCATTATTCTTATTGCCACATTGCCAGATAGGACACTTTAAAAAGAAGAAGAAGAAAAACAAGGCTCATCATAGTTTTTGTACGTTTTATGTACTATTATAAAGAGCTTAGGGGTGTTTTTTTCCTTACGGCTTTACAGTTTTAATTTTACAGGATTCACCCACTTCCTTTCTTTTGTCCAGAGAGTCTGTATTTATTTTTGCTCTCTGCTCAGGTCTGTGCTGACTGTGGCCTGTGAGCAGACTGAGGTCCTCCTGTTTGACCCCATCTCATCCAGACACATCAAAACCCTCACAGAAGCCCACGAGGATTGCGTCAACAACATAAGGTGCATTTCTCACATTTAACATCAGACACCTAGGGTTTCTGAAGCCGATATTTGCCAGCCTGATTAACCAGACTAAATGTGTGATTAAATATGTAATTTAGTCTGGCCCCGATGAATGAGACGTCGGAAGATTGTTGATGAGAACAACCCGTTGTCTTTTAAACCATGTCTGTTCGTATTGGCCAACGCTCTGACCAATGAGTGCAACTGACTGTGATGTAATAAGGGCGTCAGAAAACTGGTGGGGGAGTGTAAACAAACAGCCTGTCCGTAAAACAGCAGCGTAGAGCCTCTTTCTGCTCTTGTTTCAACCAAAACCCTTCCTAAACTAATCCTTCCAAAACTGATTCCAAAGCTGAGTCAAATAAGAACTGTTCAATAGTTGTTTCCATCTGCCGTGTTTTGGTTTCTCCAGCGTCGTCGTCACGCCCTCCAAACCCCACCTGCTTTGTGTCCAAAAAAATTCAAACATATCTCTGCGTTCTGATTGGCCCGCCTGTTCTAGGGCCTGGGGCATTGATTGAGGCTAGACCACTCGCAGGCAAAAATGATATAGGCCGCTGGAGGGTGGGGATATTTTACTAGGCTAGCCGAGGGTCGTAAGTGAAAAAGTGTCTACAAAGTGTATGAGAAGAAAAGCCTCAGAAGAGAGAAACAAGGCCAGAGTGTTTTTGTTTTTTCACGAGATCGCGTACACTGAAAGCAGAGGTCGGGCTTCCCACCGAAGCCTCGGTTGCAGAGTTTCTACTCGACAGGTAAAGTTTGGGATACTATCTGAAATCCATTTCACATCACTACTAGTAAAGGTTATCTACCTCTATATTGTAACTTTCCAGGGAAGATAAGTTTATTTATTTTGTAATTTGCATCATTAGTAGGTATACGGTGGCCAAAGATTCTTATTTACCCCGCATGTCCAAAATTCCACTTCAGCACACACACATGACACAAGTCACAATTTTTTTTAATGTACCAGTAGTCTTATTTGCAGGGAAACTTTTTATATATAAATATAGGTGAGGTGAATGACCGTTTTATCATTGCGTCCCCAATCATGCTGAAGGAGAGATGGGCTTGTGCATGCTCTCACAGGCGTCTAATAATTAGGGCGACAGTGGCGTTGGATGGAGGAGTTTGCCCTGTAATCGAAGGGTTGACGGTTCAAGCCCCGACTCCGACTTTAATTGTCGTTGTGTCCTTGGGCAAGACACTTCACCTGCATTGTCTACTGATGGTGGTCAGAGGGCCCGGTGGCGCCAGTGTACGGCAGCCTCGCTTCTGTCAGTGAGCCCCAGGGCAGCTGTGGCTACAATGTAGCTTGCCACCATCAGTGTGTGAGTGTGTGTGTGAATGGGTGAATGAATGTAGTGTAAAGCGCTTTGGTCAAGTCTCCTAACTTGAATAAATGCGCTATATAAGTACATGCCATTTACCATTTACCATTTAATAAGTGTTCCCTCCTGGGAGCGGCTACAGGGTTGTGCATGTGCACTATACCTTTAAATTCAGTTTAGTTGACTTGAACTGAGTTAAGTTATGTGAATTAAACTGATTTGAGTTTATTTTAAAAGCAAAAGCAGATGAGAAAATTATGAAACAATACAAAAGTACAAAGTTATGAGAATTTTGTTTTTAGATGACAATCACAACCATAAGTAAAACAGTAAATTAGTGATTTTTTGTATCCTTCACCCTATGGCTCTCTGTGGAAACTTTTATTCAGGTTCAAATATGTTTCCTTTAAACATTTTTCCTATACTTAGCCTTTGTTTATACTTCCTAATTCTATACTTATTAATCAATTTGACTGTATGATCTGGTTGAACTGTAAAGTGCCTTGAGATGACTTGTGTATGACTTGTGCTGTATAAATAAACTGAATTGAATTGAATTGAATTGTTTACAGAGTTAATCATCGAAATCCAGAGCGGGTTGAATCTTGGTGCCAAAATTATGCCATATATGTTGAGCAAAAGAACACGAAATGCAAAGTTTGTCTGAAAACTGTTGGGACTACCCAACTTAATACATCCAACCTCCACCACCTACAGCACAACCACACTGTTGAGTGTGAAGATGTGCAAAAGGCTCCATCAACTTTGCGCAAAATTGTTTGCAAGAGGAAACATTTTTCTCCTTTTTAATGAGATTTTGTTGAATGTTTAAACCTGTTTGGGTTCAAGACTCTTTAATATTTAATTTAAAGTAACATGTAATTTGATTTATTCAATAAATACTTTATAAATAGATCAGTTGCATTTCCTGCACATGTATTTATTTCTGATAGAGGAGCTGGAGCTTTTATCGTCCAATTTATCTTGATATTTATTTGAGGTCATATCGCCCGGCCCTAGTTGAGGGCCCCTTGGTGCCTGCAAGCATCGAGTTGGTGACCCCTAATCTAAACCAATGTGGGGACTATTGACAACACTTTCAGCCAATCAGAGCCAGTGAAAGCAGATTATCTTGGTCAGTTACCTAGATGATTGGCTTGTGGAGGATTCCTCTTGGTCCTAAAGACCTGTATTTACACCCAAAGATTTTTTTGTTCTGTGCTGTGATGGAGCACAGATATAGTTTTCAGGGAAAAACAGCAAATATATATTTTTAGAATTAGTTTCTGGCTGAGTGGTTTCATCTGTCGCTTTTTTTTTTTTGCTTGTACCTCTACACCGTCCCTGCTTTCATTTGATATGTATTGCTGGTTGATGCATGATTGTGGCTGTGGAAACATAAATGTTGATAGGTTGCTGTTCTGCCGTACATTTACCTTTTCCATCTTTTATTTTATTTGTATATAACATGGTTGTGTTTTGCACATTTTAAAAAGGTTTGTGTTGGCTTGCAACCTGCTGAGGATTTTGCAGTTTAATTTAATTTGATTGCTGCATTATCTCCCATTAATGCATCCTTTATCACTGTTGTTGAGTAACAATAACGAACACATCTACAAACAGCAGTCATGTATAAACACTTGAAATAAGAGAATAGATTAAAACTTTGAATTACCTTAGGAAAAGAGTTATTTAACAAAAATGATTTTTAAGAAATGTAAAAACTAACCTACTTCTGGTCTGGTATGTATAGTGAAAAGGTTTTTCACCATTTTATTTTTATTTTTTCACATCACATTTTTTTTTTTCTTATCATTTCAACCTTTTGTTTAATACTTTACTAATACTTATACTTTATACATAATATTTTTTAATTTTCATTTTAAATTTATGGTCTCAAATAATTTTTGCAGTGCTTGCTGCATCTGAAGATATTTTAATGTGCTCTATAAATTAATAAATGATTAAAGTAGAATTGAGGATTTATCCCTTTCTGTTCTAAAGGTTTCTGGACAATCGCCTGTTTGCCACCTGCTCTGACGACACCACCATTGCGTTATGGGACCTTCGCAAGCTGAACTCGAAGGTGTGCTCCTTGCACGGGCACGCCAGCTGGGTGAAGAACATCGAGTACGACACCAACACTCGTCTCTTGGTCACCTCTGGCTTTGATGGCAACGTCATCACGTGGGACACCAACAGGTTGGTTGCGATTACATCTTGCAGTGGTTTGGATTTATGTCCAATTTGGTTTGCATTATAAAGATAAACTTTTAGCCCATTTTTCCACCTTCATTTTGGGATTTAAAGTAATTGTAAAAATATAAAGATGAAGAACTTTTTCTCATCTTTTTTCATTTATATATTATTTAAACTAAAAAAAAAATCTGAAAAGTCTGGCATTCCTTTGAGTTTAACACCCCTTAGTCAAAGAATTTGATGATGAAGTTTATTTAATTTCATTTAGTCAAGTCATGCAATCAGAATTTAACATATCTTTAGAGCAAACTGTGAATTTTTAGGTAACCATCCTATCTTTAAGGCAGTGATTCCCACTGTTCATGCTTTGCTTTAAACGAAAGCGACAGGTCACCTGCAGTACACAGTATTGGAATAAAACACATTCTCCTTAAAATAAAAAAACTTCTACGTGTAACAATTTTAAGATTAGACATTAGTTTTACCCTGTAACAAAAGTCAGCAATGTCATCTGTGTATTTTTATCCACTTTATTTCTGTCATTATCATTTTTATCCTGAAATTATACAAAGTCCCCCCTAGAGGGCGCACCCCTATAAAGTTTTGGAACCTCTTCGGTAAACAATACCTAAATACCCCTACAATAAATGTTGGGAAAAAGCCTAACAGTGAAATTAAAATGACATGATTTTATGCTAAATGGAACTATAATTGCATTTAGTTATATCCTTGTGATTAGTGTTGGTATTGTTTGGATTTCAACTCTTCTGGGGTTTTTTTTTGCTCGTTCGGTAATCTATAACCCAAAGTCATTAAGGAATATTTTTTAAGTGGAATCACTATTGTCTCAAAATTTCTGATTTAAAGGAGATCAGACCAAGCAAAAATCCTTTTCAAGCCTCGGGTGGTAGCAGTGTCACTGTTTTGTTAAAGGTAATAATTTTCCTCTCTTGCAGGTTTACTGAGGACGGCTGCCCACACAAGAAGTTCTTCCACACTCGCTATCTGATGAGGATGCGTCTGACACCCGACTGTTCCAAGATGCTCATCTCTACTTCCTCAGGGTACCTACTCATCCTTCATGACCTGGACCTGACCCAGTCCCTGGAGGTGGGCAGTTACCGCATGCTGCGTGCCAGACGGACCCCCCTCAGTTCAGGTCAGAACCAAGGCTATGGAGTCAATTTGAAAAAGTTCTAATTGTAAAAAAGAGTTATTTTTTTTATTATTTTATTTATTTCATGTTATATTTTTTTAATGGAATTTTTTTCAAACCTTATTTCTGAAATCTTTTTTGCAGAAGAAATCTTTCATTAAAATTTTTCACATTCTTTTCACTTCAAGTCCAAGACGACTACTCTCTCTTGACCAATAAAATATTGTTTCTAACTTATATGCTGACCAATAGAAATGCCTCTTTGCTCCTCACTCCAGAGGCCAGCCTGCTCTCAGAAGTTAAGAGAATTTGATCTGGAAAAAATGATAGGAGAAATCTAAAAATATAAAATCTATTGGTAAAGAAAACAGTAATGCCCCTAACAAACTTTCTTCCTACTTTTTTGCGTAAGGAATTTTTCTAAGTTTTATTTGTGAATTGCATTACTTTTTTAAATTGACAAAACATGTTTTTTGCTTTCAACAATAATGGAACAACATAAAAAAGTGCAACCAAATATCTATATATAGCAGGAAATGATTTTTAAAAGACAATGTGTTTTCATAGATGGAGGAACGTCAGCATCTAGGTCAACTGCGGCGCCACGACAGGGACATGACTCCAAGATTCATCCTCACAGAGAAGGTCTGGGATGATCTCAGTAGGATGCTGATTGTATGGTGCCAAGTTAGCCTCCTGACTGAAACTAACTTCCTTTCCTCTCAGGTCTCTCCCCAAGGAACAGCCTGGAAGTTTTAACCCCCGAGATCCCAGGAGAGAAGGACCGAGGGAACTGCATCACATCCCTGCAGCTTCATCCGAAGGGCTGGGCCACGCTCATCCGGTGCTCCAGCAACATGGATGACCAGGAGGTGAGGAGCCTATTACTGCAGGTTTTCAAAAGATCCAAAGGAGAAGCTATAGTTGTTGCTTAGTTTTGTGCATTAATGTTAAATCCTTTTTTTTATTACATAATATATACAGTAACTGATCTAATTTATGAAATCACTAATAGACACACATATATAAATATATGCCTAAGATCTTTAGGTGGGGAGTTTATGATGGAAAAGTGGAGGACATTATGTTAAACATTTCTAACATGATAGAATAAGACATGGTAGCAACACGTGTGATGGACGGGGAAGCATTGTTGTTTTTGACAGCCATCTTAGATTTAGTCTTAATTTAGTCTTAATTATTATTAGTTTAGTCTTAATTATTATTTGTTTTATGTTGCAAAAAAAAAAAAAAAGAGTTAACCTTTACAATTTGGAATAACAACCAGATTCTTTACCAGACTGAAAGCTCTTACTTAGAGACTAAAATTGCCGGGTATAGAATGCTGCCCTGCAGTTCATCATTGCTGTTGGGCAGAAAACTTTGATTAGTAGAATTCAAATAAACGTTTTTATATATTGATGCCCTACTTTGTAAAAAAAAGTGTGTCACAAAAGCTGTGAAAATAGAAGATCTAGTTCAACACATCATATTAGTTAACAAATCAGACAGACAAGAGAAAAAAAAATGTACAATAAAGGAATGGTTTTAGACATACAAGGTTTTCATCGTAAAGCAAACACTTCCTGATCTATTGTGAATTATGCATTACACACAGATCAATAGAATCTTCATTGCTCAGAAAATAAACAAAGAATAAAAAAAATTTTTTTTTCTTCTTTGGCAATTTTGGTTTTATTTCTAAGAATTTACCCCTTTGTTACTGCTGCTCAGGGGTCAAAGTAGATTTAAATTCACATGGTTTTTATATAAAACAAATTACAGAGAGAACAAACATAATTGCCTTTGTAATGCCATGACAATGCAGACCTAAACTGAATGAATATGCTAACTAAAATGTAAAAATATTTAAAGGAAACTGTTTTAACCTCTTAACATTACTTTCCTCCCTAAAGCCCTATGTCCATAAAACCTGGCTGCCGTAACTTTGTTAAAACAATGTTTTTTCAGGTCACATCCACAGCACATCTGATTAGTTCTGATTCTTTAAAATTGGGCTCTACTCTTTTGCAGACCGACTCAACGCCATATGTACGCTGTATTAGTCAGTCGGACAAAGACAGGTGGATAGACTCAACATTCAGGTTCAAATTACCTGATTTCATCATCTTAATATGATATATTATTACAGATAGGGCTGAAACTAACAATCATTTTTTGAATTGATTAATCATTTATTATTTTTTATTGAGATGGTAAAAGGTGCTTTAAATTAAACTATAGCAGAATTGAAACCAGATGTAGCTAAAATATATTTTTTTCTCTTAAATGCAAAGAGTTTACATCATTTTTATTATATATTATATCATTATCATTTTTTTATTTATTTTAGCCTAATTATAGCTCTAGTTGGGTGGCTTAGCTAACATAACATATTTTAGTCTGTGTACTCCAGTTAACGATTAATGATCACAAAATTAGTTCACTATTAATTGAATTGGTTCAGCTGTATTTACACGTATTTTAAATTGATGATAAAAAAATGTGTTTCTGTTGTGGCCCCCACTTTGAAAAACAGTTTCTAAGCCACAGTAGTTCGGATGTTTCATCTTTTTTATTTCACTATCACTGTCAAAATCTAAAAGGAATAGAGGTTGCCTTGTTTTTGTAGGAAGATTATGCCTGAAAAGTGATCAGAAAAAAGCTGCTGTTGCTCGTTGAACAGAAACTCTTTGAAAAGTTGTGAAATGTGTGATGATATCTTTTATTTCCTGCCTAATTTCTCTCTGTCCTTCCTTCTTCCAGTGGACATGTGTGTACGAATTCCAGGAGGGAGCGCCCACCCGGCCGCTGGTGTCTCCCCGCTGTTCCTTACGCCTCACTCACTACATTGAAGAGGCTAATGTTGGGCGGGGCTACATCAAGGAGCTGTGCTTTAGCCCCGACGGACGGCTCATATGCTCCCCCTATGGCTACGGCGTCCGTCTCCTCGCCTTCGACGAGAGCTGCAGTGAGCTGGCCGACTGCTTGCCCGTCCAGACCAGCTGCCTGCGGGAGATCCGCTCCATCTACTCTCACAGCGACGTGGTGCTAACCACCAAGTTCTCCCCGACGCACTGCCAGCTGGCCTCAGGCTGCCTCAGCGGCCGTGTGGCGCTGTACCAGCCCAAGTTTTAGCATCTAGGCTTATTGAAAAACAGAGCGCTGCAGACCTGGGTGAAGACGTACCTAAGAGAAAGTCTGGAAATATATCAAGGAAGCATTTTCCCGATGCTAACACTGACGAATACATTTCTACAAGACATCTGCAGTGGCCCTTTATATCATTTCGGTCTCACTGCAGATATTTAATGACACTAATATTCTGTTTAGTACAATTCTGCGTACCAGTTATATCAACACAATCCAAAAAGAGAAGATATTTGGACTAGAGATGTACACACCTGCTATAAAAGTCTGAAAAAATGAAGCTAACTAGAGACGCACCGATCAGATTTTAATTGCAGATTTATGACCTCTACTTTTTTATGTAGAGCTTTCACCTGTAGATACCTGCTTCATTCATTTCCGGTTCTCTTAAAAACTTAAAAAATACAATAACAGGTTTTAAATTATTCTTCATTCTTTTTTCATTATGTTAGCTGTTATTTATTATTCACATTAGGAGCAGAAAGTGTTGCACCGCATGTTTTTGTAGAACAAGGTTATGCTATTTAAAATCTAAGACAAAATCTTTTCCATTACACTTTAAACTATCGTTAGCATCTTAGGTAATTAATTAGCATGAATAGCATTTATAAAACAGCCTTCTCCAATTTTGATGAGTTGTCATTTAATATTTCATGACACGTAAGATCAAAATAGATTTTAATGTAATTTAATTTCCCTCCTTGCTTTCCTGTACCCCATATAAACCTCAGAAATTTCTCAACATGGTGTAGAAAATTGTTTCCTTTGTTAGAGCTTCTGGCTTAATGTAAAACGCTTAACTTTGATTCTTCACTCAGTATTAGCCTTGACACCGAAGAGTGTTGTTGTCAGGTAGCATTATGGTACATTCAGTGACTGGAAAAAATGGTTGGATGTTTGAGTTTCCGTGCAGCTGGACGTCTGTCTGAAGCTAAATAGAAAACATGGGGTTCTTTTACCAGACGTGCTCCAGTACATAAATGAAGACCCAGGTCTGCAGCGGTTAAAACGGGCTGTGTTCGTTTAGGTGCTAGCTGTCAAACAGGCAGCCATTGGCTGGGGTAACAGAGGAAAAGACTGATGCTTCTGAGGTTGGACACTTTGAGCCTCATTAGCCCTGAATTTGAAATAATAAGACAAAAGGAAACCTCACAGGGTGGGGAAAAAAACAACAAGAAACTGTATTTTGGTTAAACTTTCCTCCAGGCTGAGCAGAAGTTTGATGCAACTTGACATCAGGCAAGGACAAAGTATGGGCTGTTTGTTGCTCATTTTGTTACAGCGGATTCATTTTTGGCTCTTTAACAGGAGGAACACCCAGTTTTTTGTTTTTTTTGTTTGTTTTTATTGAGACTCTGAACATCCAGATGTTGCCATCTCAGGAGGACAACAGTAACGATGCAAAATATCAAGTAGAGAATCCTGGAACAAACGAGCTTGTTGTTTTTACTTGACTTCCTGCGCTGCGCCTTGTGCCGCTCTCTGCTGCCTCACTCATGCCTTCGCCACAGGTGCTGCTTCTCTGCTCACACAATCTGAACTTCATGGACCTACCTTCCCTCACCTGCCTTCTGCTTTTCTTTTTTGCTCCCAACCTGATCTCTGACCTCTTTCCATGTCCAGTTCCTCTGCAGTTTTTAGTTCACTTGGTGTGTAAATGTCAGCACTGATTGTTGTCACTTTCTGGCCTTTGAAGCTACTCAGTTTTCCCCACAGGCGATGGTTTTATCTGACATCTCTAAACGAAAACATCCAGCCACTTGAGTATTAATTCAGAGGATGGTACTGGTAACTATTTTTATAGAACATAGGAGCTCCTATTCACTCATCTCCAGAATAATAGTTTACATAGTTTTTACCAGAATAATTCAAACTGAAAAAATTTGTGTTGTTCCTGAAACTGTTAGTGCAGTTGGAATCTGATCAGCGTCACCAAGTTTTCAGTTTTTATTAGTTTTCAGCCACCTCTGGAGCTTTGTGAAACATTTGTTCAAAGCCTCAAAATGAATTATATCTTTGAGGATTAGATAAAATAACCACCCAATGTGAATAAATGGGTTATTAAAAGCCTCAGTAGCACAAATATCAGTGGCCCTACTTTACAACCATAATTTTCTTCAAAAATATATCCCATCTAAATTTATCTGGGGATCTTTCCTTTGATCCCGTATTCCAACTCAACCCTCAGGTTTTCTGCGTAGTTTAAATCCTGAATGTTTGAGTTTACTCCCAAAGGCTACTGGATTATAAATTAAAATCTGATATCACAAAGAGTCATTAAACCCTTTAACATGATTCCCTTGCTGTTTGATAGAGAAATGGGCCCACAGCATTATAGGTCCTCCACTTTACTTGATTCTTTGTTTCGCATTAAACCCATCTGTTTTGCCATTGCCTGAAAATATTCCTCGTAGTCTCATTTTACAAAATCACAGGGTTCCAGTTAAAGTCCCAGTACCACCTCCATAAGTTCACATCAGTGACAAGTGGAAGAACTTATTTTCTGGTATCACTTTGAGATGTCTTCTAATGGTTGCCATGGAGACCTAATGCCCTAAAAAAATATCAGTATGAAAGTGCAGCTTTTACCTCCCTAACCACAGAGCTCTGTTCTGGTTGGATAAAAGATGTGGCTTCTGTGTCACGTATTTGTTGGACCTACCAACAGTTGTGCCATTTAAGATTTTCTTTTTTTTTTTGCTCTTATTTCTGTAGAGAGATGCATCTGCTCCACCACCCTCTGGAATCAAAACTATTATTGCAACTAATTCTTTCTTTGCATAACAGAAAGAATTGATAGAATATCTTCTGTGGTCTGATGGGTGGTCCACAATGTAACACAACCACCGTACTGAATGACTGAAAGAGACATTAGAACGTGGCTACGTGAACGTGAACTCCTGCTATGCACAGCAGCCTTTCTGATGGTTCTTCTTTGTTATCTATGCTCAGCTGTCTGTTGCCAAAATAGGATTTTATTGATTAATGAGTTTGAGCTGAGGACTAAGAAAACGGTTATGATTTATTTAAAAGAAGATCTATTTAAACAGACTTCACTTTTTTTCTGTAAACATAATTGTTTCTGTTTGCTGAAGGTGGCGCTGTTGCTCAGTTTATTTCTGACTGTAAAACTACAGTATGTGTTTACAGTGGCTTTTTGCTTCTCTGCTGTGTGTGAACCGGGCATCTGCTAACTAAGCAGTGACTAATATCCCTGCTGAGAGTATCAGAGGTGGGTTAAATTTCTAGCTCAGAAGTTACTCCTTGAACTGTCCAAGCAGCATTATTTGTGTCCATCATACCTCGGTTAACCGTGTTTGTAACCAGCAGCTCGCTTTCAGCTCACTCAGTCTTTTTGCTTTTACCTACATGAACCTGATCCCTCCCACCTAAACGCAGACATGGACATCTTTCGCCACGTTCATTGTGGCCAACTGAGCCGAGCGTGAAGGGATGCTGTATATTCTCTGCTGCTTCTACTTCAGCTACACTTAACAGCTCTTTGAAGTGTCTTATCCACTATTTTCACTCCATATATTTAAGAGAAAGAGGAGAAAACTGGGTTGTTTGGTGTGTTTTTTGGATACCCTCCTTTCTTAATTTTAACGTGTATTTAGTCATGAATTTCATGAATGTTCACACTATTACCTTTTTTTTATGTATGCACCATAAAGTGAATACACCTGAAGGATGGGTAGAGAAAATAAAACACGTTTAAATGTTCAAAGTTGTTTCCATCATTACTGTTGCCGACTAAGCAAGTAATTTAGGATTTACACTTAAATATTATTTATTAGTGAATAAAAGAAGAGACTATTTTTGCACAAGATTATTTTTGCAGTGCCGACTGCCCACAAATTAGATCCAGATTATTTCTAAGCGAAAACATCACAATTAAAATACAGGGAGCTGCAACCTATTGTTCAAAGAGTGATGTTTGCTCTCAGTTCAGCTTAACCAAACAACTTTAGAGCCACAATTTAATGAATTAACCTTTTGAATAATAAAAATCATAATCATAATCATAATGAATGTCCACTTCAATGTTTGAAAAGAAACATTTTTTTTTTTCATCTTAATGTTTTACTATTGGAAAAAATAAGATGCAGGAATTAAACATGCAAAGTTTTTGAGCCTGATGACAAGAAAAACTATATAACTGATACTTTTGATATCTCTTTTGTAGAAGTTAAAGAAAACTGCTGATATCTGCATTTAAAAATATATCTAGTTTGTTTTTTTGTGTGCTTTTAGCCAATATCATAAAGACTCAGTAAGACTATACTTGATCCAAATAGCCTCCTGTGGCTCCTGATCCCTGCTATAAGGTATAAAGATGGGCTTCAGCTAACAGTGGTTTTTAGTGATGGCGTTGATATCTTATTCGGACAAGTAATTAAATAAAAAATGTTTATATTTTGAATGTCCCATGTCCTGTCAGGCAGTTAACAGACCTGTTTGTGAAGCATTACAGCTTTTACTATATTGCTCCACATAACTAAAATAAAACTAAAACCTAATTAAAAGTTATTTCAAATTCATTTGACACAGAGACGGAAGTGGAAAACAAAAAGAACAGAGAGATTACCTAGGTCCCTTTTCCTAAATGCTGGCTGAATGTGATCTGAGTAAAAGGCTGATTTCAGAACAGATTACATAATTCATTGTTAGGTGTGAGCGTGGTTATAAATGTAGCCATTATCTACCATTAGGCAAAACTAGCCAGTTTCATAGGGCCCCCCCAAGTTCCTGGGAGCCCCATAAAACTAATTTTACATGTATTGTTAATACAGTTTTTACTTATTTGTGCATATTAATTATGTTTTTGATATAAATCCTTTGTAAAAATTCCATCAGTACACTTATATTAGGTATGTCTCAGGGGGGCCTTATGTGTCCGCTACATTGGATCAGTCCATTTCCTGCGCATTGCAGGAAGGTCCGAACCAACAGCACCAAACCATTTGAAAACAAACGGCGTAAAGAGCCATGTCTCCAACTAAATGCTTTGTATAACCCTCTAGTGCTTTTATTTCAAAAAAGCACCTAGCGCCAAATCTAGCGACTTTTTTCTGCTACTGGAGACTTTGGCGACAACATAAAAGTATCGAACCTTGCTCTCCGAAGCAAGTAGATGCATAACCCCGCCCCTGCTCTCCTCTCTCTTGTCTGCAGTGATGACTGATGCAGGGCATGCTGTCTGCATGGTGCGCTGCAGCAGAGGGAAAGAACCTTTAAACTTCAAGATTGTAAATGAAATGCACAGGCTTAAAGCTGTTACTAATCTTGCTCAAGGTTACAAAATAATTTACAAAACCATTTTTATGAAAATTAGCTGATGCTTTATATAAATTTATCCCCCTTTCTGCTCCTCCTCTCTCTGCACCGCTTTCTTCTTCATGAGGTTTTTTTTATTGGTTGGCAAACAACTAACAGGGAATTGCTGACAGCAACTTGCACCTTATAGGACAGCCAATAGCAACTTTTCTTGCTGGGGAGTTGGCAACACTGGGAAAAAGAAATTTTGACAAAAAAGGGTTAGGTCTTTAAAAATATAAAAAAAAAAAAACTTATAATTAAATTGAAATGGGTGAGCCTCATTTATGTAATCAAGTAGCAGGATTTATCCTTTGTTTCAGCTGGTCATGAGACAAGGAATTTATTTTTATTTCTCTACAGTGCTTAGTCACCAACTCTGTTCATAACTTTTATGGACAGAATTTCTAGGCGCAACCAAAGTGTTGGGGGGATCTGTTTTGGTGGCCTTAGGATTGCATCTCTGTTATTCGTAGATGATGTGGTTCTATTGCCTTCATCAGGGCGTTATCTACAGCTCTCACTGGAGTGGTTCACAGCCGAATGTGAAGCGGCCGGGATGAGGATCAGTGCCTCCAAATCCGAGACCATGGTCTTAAACTGGAAAAGGGTAGAGTGCCTTCTCCGGGTCGGGGAGGATGTACTGTGCCTAGTGGAGAAGTTTAAGTATCTTGGGGTCTTGATAGCGAATGAGGGGAAGATGGAGCGCAGGGATCGATAGGCGGATTTGTGCGGTGTCTTCTGTGAAGCGTGCCCTGTACCGGTCTGTTGTGGTGAAGAGAGAGCTGAGCCAAAAAGCAAAGCTCTCGATTTACCGGTCGATCTACATTCCTAACCTCATCTATGGTCATCTATGGAGCTTTGGGTCATGACCAAAAGAACGAGATCCCGGATACAAGCAACTGAAATTACTTTTCTCCTTAGTGTTTCTGGCCTCTCCCTTAGAGATAGGGTGAGGAGCTCAGAGTACAGCTGCTGCTCCTCCACATCGAGAAGAGCCAGTTGAGGTGGCTCGGGCATCTGGTTAGGATGCCTCCTGGACGTCTCCCTGGTGAGGTGTTTCAGGCACGTCCCACCGGGAAGAGGCCCAGTAGGAGGCCCAGGGGGAGGCCCAGGTTTCTCTGCTGGCCTGGGAGTGCCTTGGGATTCCTCCAGAGGAGCTGACCCAATTGGCTGGGGAGAGGGACACCTGACCCTCCCTATTGAAGCTGCTACCCCCACGACCCGACCCCGAATAAGCGGAAGAAGATGGATGGATGGATGGAGTGCTTAGTTCTAAAAATTGATGTGAGTCACATGCTTTGAGGCATGATGTTGGCATCGGAATTGGCTGTTATTTATCTTTTTTTTAATACATTAATGTTTTTTATTCCTTTATAAATAACGTAATAAAAGTCTTCTCTCTAACTACCTATAAATAGCGCTGTATTGAGGTACTCTGGTGTTCTCAAAAATAGAAAAAATACTTAGAGACAAAGTCATATAAATCTTTAAACTTCAAGATCAAAACATGCGACAATATTGGCTTCCAGTCTTAATTTTCAAAGTTGTTCATCTGAGAAAAAATTACAAGAAACGCCTTAAATTATGATGTTTTCAGTTAGGAGCACTTCATTATTGAATTGCTGTTGCCAAATCAATGAATGTGGTGTCGAGTCTGGGGACTCTTGAAGGAGTCTTCAGACCTGCAACAAGCTTGATTGCTTAAACCTGGCTTGATGTAGCCGTACCTGTGAGGGCAGGCTTGGCCTTACTGGAATGGATGATTGGGTTGGGTTAACCCTGACTTTATCTATTATTTTGGATTTCTTCATTCGTTTTTTGTGAAGTAGGCCTTCGAAGACACTGCATGGAGTATTTTGGTAATAAGAAGCATTTTTATGACCCACCAGGTAATTTAAACCTCCTAATTGATTTGCACATTGTGCAAAGAATCTCTTCTAAATAATGAAAGATTTTAGCTAATTTCACAGCTACTTGGGCCTTTCTTCCACATATACTTTTTTGTATATTTGATCAAAGAAATACTGTGCAGGCAAAAACCAGCGCTTTAAAATTCCCACTTTATATTACAGCTTATTTCAATATAGGTTCATCTTTATTTTTCAGTTAATCACACTATACCTCATTATAGCAAAACAATTTAATGAGGATGTGGTTCCATGATTGTTCCAAGCAAAGAACATGTTTTGTAGACTTAAAATATACAACCCAGAAATGAAAATACTTTGTTGTGAACAGCGAGATGCATTTCTTTAGGTTTGCATGGACGTTAGCAATACCATTGTGTTGGTCACTGTGTTTGTATTGGGCTTTAAGTTAAATGTGATCTGAGAAGCGCAATTAAAAAGGAATGCAATATGTAAAATTAAATATGAAAAACAGAAATAAAAAAGAAATCACAATATAAAACTATATAATTTATATATATTTAAATAAGTTAAAACATAAAATAGAAAAAAATAAATTTTAAAAGAAAATTTAATATATGAAATTGTATTTAGGAAAAAAAAAACATCTCAGAGATTAGAAAAGTTAAATGTTTTTTTTTTTTCAATTATTACTTTTTTGGTTCCAATTACATTTGTTTCAAATTTAAACATTGAAAAGGGACAATTTTTAATTTACAAAATGTTTTCTTTGCTTGCTATTATAATGATAAAATAAAAATCACTCCATAAAAGAAGGACTTTTGACATTTTTGCAAAAGAGAAATAAAAAACACACTTTGGTATGATCTGATTTTCAGGTACACCATGTTCTTCTATTATCCTAGGGAAATCTTGAAACTCATCCATCCATCCATCCGTCCGTCCATCCATCCATCATTTCTTCTTGAAGGGGGTGAAGCAACATTGTGGAACTAACACCTGACTTGAAGTTATGTTCAATAAGTTCAAACATGCTTAAACAATTTATACACTGGAGCATTAAACGCAGACTCTGCCTGGAGGCATGGATGTGTAACATAATTATAGCTTTTGTTGCCTGAACTTTTTTTTTTCATGCATGCCTCGGCAGCAGGCCCTGCTATAGTGTTTGTGTGTATATGTGTCTGTGTTTCCCCTTTTAGAGCCAGGTCTAATTGTGCGTAAAGCTCTGTCAACTTTACTGCGCTACAGAAACCGAACAAATAAACTGGGAATAACATTTAAATATCATTAATTTTATTTGCATACATACCATTTTTTGGGGTAATTTCATTAAGCAACATTTCAGTCTGACTGGAAACATAAGTGGTCTGTTTAGAAGAAAAAAAAGCAAGTAATGCACATTCTTCTGCGCGCGCGCGCACACGTGCAAGCGCATGCTTTAACAAGGCTTGCTGTCTGTATAAAAGGGAGCCAATGCGACAAGAATCTCTGGAGGTCAGACGGCAAGAATGACAAGTAAACAGAAATATGCCATCCGAACAGGTGGTGCCGTTTGCGCTCTTTTACGCACGGCCACAAGTCGGAATTGTCCAAAGCAGCCACTCGGCGCACCTGAGATCATAATTTTCTTCTTCATCTCAGTGATGTTGTCTTTCACTGTCCAGCCAGCATCAGCTCATCCTCAGTGTCTAGACTTTGCCCCACCTTTCAAACCGCAGTGGCACCTGGAGTTCTGCTCCCAGTATGAGGACTTCGGCTGCTGTGACCAGAGGACGGACAACGTGATCGCGGAGAGATACTGGGACATAATCGAGCTGCTGGAGGCGGCGGGTTATGACTTGTGTGAGGACATGCTGAAGGAAATCATGTGTCAGGTAGGCTTCCCATCTGTGGAAGCAAATCGTTACCATATTTCAAAAGCATTTCTGGAAATGCTTTTTCATTTTCAAACTTTACATTTCAAACTGTATTTTGGTATGTATTTGCTGGGGCACATTTTGAAAAATAAATGTCAAATGTCTTTTTCTTTTTCATTTTAATTAAGTAAAAGGATGAGCAGTGTTAAAGAAGAAAATGAAAATGCAAACAGGAAGATTGATTACTAATTTGATTTATAAGTCAAACGATGCAGCCACATTCCTAAAATGAAAAAGTATTTCTGGAAATGCTTTTTCATTTGAAATATGGTAACAATTTGCTTCCATACCCATCAACTTGTTCTCTTAAACCTTGTTATGAAACAGGTATGGATATATAATGAGGTTGTATACTTGTGTAAATTGGTAAGCCACAATAAACCACAAAATAAATGCAAACTACACATTAAAATCCCACAGATTTGGACAGGAGGTTCTAAACCTCAATCTTTGCATTGAATTCAATTTAATTTAAGGGTTATAATTATACATTTAAGCTGTTCTTTCTCATGCTGGGGTATTATACTACACGATTGTTAAAAAGTATAAAAGATTGTACATTTTTTTCTGCTGCCAACATGAGACACACACAGGCTCAGACATATGCATACACATAAATAAATTCTAATGAGCTAGTTCCACAGATAGCACAGGATTTTTGTAGCCACCCATTAAGTCCTGGCAGAGTTTGTTTAGAATATATGAACATCCTGCTTCATATAAGAGATAAACTCCTTTAAATTGTCTGGCTTTAAAACCCAGATTAAACACTCCACACATTTTTCAAAAGGGTTTATGTTCCAGGTTTTAATGTCACCCTCAATCAAAAAGAATTTTGTACAATGTGTGTGGTTGGAAACCTCCAAATATGTTTGAGTTTCAACCTTCTGTGACATTTAGATTAAAGGCAGACTGATGACATATTCATTTACAGTTGGAATGACCTTCAATGGATGAGAAGGTTCTGACAAGGACATTTCTGCTTGAACCTGGACAAAAATAATTGTGTCCCTGGAAAAGACAAAAAAAATAGTAATGTGACCAAAGGGACATTTCAAATCAGGGTGTCCACTTGCTTTACTGGTGTCTGCAATCTTGTGGCAAATAATATGAAACAAATAATATGAATGTTAACAACAGAGCCAAGAACAACTTCCTAATAGATTAAAAGGTGAACTTCAAGCTCAAGGAACATTAGTGTCAGGTCACTCCATCCATCTTTGTTTGACTTAAAGGGAGCTGACAGAGGAGGACACCACTGTCCTGACTGGAATTTGCCAAACTACATGTTGACAAGCCACAAAGCTTCTGGTAGAAGGTCCTATGGAGAAATTAGACAAAATGGAACTCGATGCCAAGACACATCATCTATATGTTCACTGATGGAAAAATAAAGCATATCATGTAAAGAAAACTGTCCCTACCGTGAAACATGGAGGAGGCTCTGTGATGTTCTGGTGCTGCTTTGCTTTATCTGGTACAGGGTGTCAGTCTTAAGACTATCAAGGGATTCTAGAGAGAAATGTGCTGCCAAGTGTCAGAAAGCTTGGTCTCAGTTGCAGGTCAACATAATAATGACCCCAAAACACACAGCAGAAAACACCCAAGACTTGACTTATGACTTTTTCAGATTCAAGTTATAAATAGTTTTTTTATAAATCTTATTAAATCGAGGGTACCAAAAATGTCCATGTCTGTAATTACAGCTCTAAAAGAAGAGATCGTTTATGCTGATATCTAGTGTATGTAAAGTTCTGAGAAGAACTGTCATTCCTTTAAATTTTGGAGATATTTATCTTTTATCTATTTGCGCCCAACCATGAATCAGAGATTAAATAATTTGTGCTATTTGAGTTGTTCTTATCTCACCAGTTTCCTATTGACCCTCCAGGAGTGCTCCCCTTATGCTGCCCACCTTTATGATGCAGAAGACCCTTACACACCTGTTCGAGACTTGCCTGGACTGTGCTTTGGATATTGCTCTGAATTTCACAGCAAGTGCCGTCATGTGCTCAAGTATCTAACTGAGAACCAGCTCCTACTGGACACCTCTGGGCGGGACATGACCACGTTCTGCAGCCTTATAGATCTATCTGACCAGGACTACTGCTACCCCAACGTTCTGAAGAGCACTGACCTCAACAGCAACCTGGGACAAGTGGTGGAGGACCCCAGAGGGTGTCTCCAGGTATGCTTGACTGAGGTGGCCAATAATCTCAGGAACCCAGTGTTTTGTGATTCACCAGACTTGACCATGCAGAAGAGCTAAAGGCAACTATCAGAGGAGCCTGGGCTCTCATAACACCATGGCAGTGCCACAGAGTGAATCTAGTATCGAGTACTGTCCATGCTCATATCTTTCAATTGGCCAACATTTTTAGAAATCATTTTTGTATTGGTCTTAAGGAATATCCAAATTTTCCGGGTTACTGAATTTAGGGTCGTCATTAGTTGTCAGATAGCAAAAGACTTGCGCACTCATGAATATAGTGCGCAAGTCTCACTTCTGAAATAAAGGACTTAAAATCAAAATGTTCATGACTTGCTAAATTTATGACCAACACCTGTACAGTCATGGCCAAAAGTTTGGATAATGATTCAAATGTTATTTAGAAAGTCTACTGCTTCAGTTTTTATAACGGCAATTTGCATATACTCCAGAATGTTCTAGAGTGATCAGCGTAACAGCAATTAATTGCAAAGTCAATATTTTCCCTAGAAAATGAACTTTACTCCTCAAAACACATTTGAACATCATTGCAGCCCTGCCTTAAACCAGCTAATATTGTTTCAGTGATTGCCCCATTAAAACAGGTGTGGGTGGTGATGAGGACAGGGCTGGTGATCAATCTGTCATGATTAAGTAAGAATGACACCACTGGACACTTTAAAAAGAGACTGGTGCTTGGCATCATTGTTTCTCTTCTGTGAACCATGGTTATCTCTAAAGAAACATGTGCAGTTATCATTGCGCTGCACAAAAATGGCCTAACAGGAAAGAGAATTGCAGCTAGAAAGATTGCACCATAGTCAACAATCTATCGCATCATCAAGAACTTCGAGGAGAGAGGTTACATTGTTGCCAAAAAGGCTCCAGGGCGCCCAAGAAAGACCAGCAAGTGTCAGGACCGTCTCTGAAAAGTGTTTCAGCAGCGGGATCAGGCTTGCTCAGGAATGGCAGCAGGCAGGTGTGAGTGCATCTGAATGCACTGTGAGGTGGAGACTCTTGGAGCAAGGCCTGGTCTCAGGGAGGGAAGCAATGAAGCCCCTTCTGTCCAGGAAAAACATCAGGGCCAGACTGATATGCTGCAAAAGGTACAGGGAGTGGACTGCTGAGGACTGGGGTAAAGTCATTTTCTCTGATGAATCCCCTTTTTGATTGTTTGGGACAACTGGAAAACAGCTTGAAGACGATGTGAGCACTACCATCAGTCTTGTCTCATGCCAACTGTAAAGCATCCTGAAACCATTCATGTGTGGGGTTGCTTCTCAGCCAAGGGAGTCGGCTCTCTCACAGTCTTACCTAAAAACACAGCCATGAATAAAGAATGGTACCAGAATGTCCTCCAAGAGCAACTTCTCCCAACCGTCCAAGAGCAGTTTGGTGATGAACAATGCCTTTTCCAGCATGATGGAGCACCTTGCTATAAAGCAAAGGTGACATCTAACTGGCTCAGGGAACAAAACAGAGATTTTGGGTCCATAGCCTGGAAGCTCTCCTGATCTTAATCCCATTGAAAACTTGTGGTCCTTCATCAAGAGATGGGTGGACAAACGAAAACCTAAGAATTCTGGAAAATGCAAGCATTGACTGTGCAAGGATGGACTGCTATCAGTCAGGATTTGGTTCAGAAGTCAATTGAGAGCATGCCAGGGAGAATTGCAGAGGTCCTGAAGAAGAGAGGTCAACACTGCAAATATTGACTTGCTGCATTAACTCATACTGTCATTAAAAGCTTTTGTTACTCATATGATTGCAATTATATTTCTGTATGTGATGACATCTGACATACACACATGAAAACCAGAGGGCAGCAGATCATGTGAAAAAATAATATTTGTGTCATTCTCAATACTTTTTGCCATGACTGTAGATAAGATTATGTCCTGCTTTCATGATTAAAATAAAGTCACACTGACACCTAGTGGCCAATGCATGGAACTGAAACTAAACCAATTCTGTGGCGGTCCTGTATTGAAGCATTCCATGCTCAAAAGATTGCACATTTATTGTAAAGCCAAGTGGGGAGAACAAGCCTCTTTTTATGCAGTCAGAGAAGTTAGTACTTTAACTGAGAGAATTTGAAATCTAAGAAAAGAGAAATTCACAATGACGTCCACTTTGTCTTGTAGCTCTTATTTAAGGTTAATAAGAGCTATAACCATAATTTAGTAGCAACGTGTTCCAATAATTAACAAGTAGATGTAAGGTGCAAAAGTTAGGAACTATTTTTATTGTTTTAGAGTATTTTGCTTACAAAATTAACATGATTACACATTTTAATGATCTCTGAGCTTCAAAACTTGAATTAAGCTCTACTTCTTCCAGGACTACATGTGCTGATGCTCTTCAAATCCCATCCTGTTATGTTTCTTCATTTAATGGGTGATCTTGTAGACTTCGTCGCCAACATGGATGACCCCTGTCTTCTTGACATTGTGCAGCTGTCCGAACAATGGGCTTTTTTGGTAGATGTGTGTCTCTGATGGTTTGCACATTCGGTAGCTGTGGAAAGAATATCCCCATCAGGCTACACTGCATTTCATTGGCCTTATACTTGATTGGAAGGAAAAATGTTGCTGCAACATAGTTTTATGTCATATGTGGAAATTTAAATTTTGAATTTAACTTAATAAATAATATTAATTTATATTATTAACTTAATATAAAGGGAAACTATAATTAAAAAAGCAAGAATAAAAGTACGCACTTATCTGATAGATGATCAGGTGCAATAAAACTAATCTAAAAATCAGCAAAATATTCCTAATACATGTGTACTTTCCATAAATTTGACCAGGTTAATAAGATGATAGGCAATGAGATAAAATAAGATAAGTTCTTTTTTTAATGTAAATCATTGGCAAATTGTCTTACCTGCTCCAACTTACCTTCTCATTTCGATTTGACTTTCCTTTATTTCAAGTTTTACAGCGCTCATCTTATGTTTACAACAAGTTTTAAGTTAAGAAATCTTCAAAAAACTAAAGAAGTGTGATGCAAAACTAAAGAGGTTTGATATTTAGTAAATATACTGTTTGTATGAAATTGTTTGTTGGGATTTTGCCTGAAAAAAAGTAACCAGTTCCTTGAAAATGTATTATAAACAAGCAGTTCTGTGAAAGCCTGAGATTTCTGCCACTGTTGTAGGTTCTCATGTCTTAGGCAGATGCAGGAAAGATAATTAGTTAATGGAAAGGTGGATGAATAATACTGATTTAGACTAGCAACTGCAGAAACTGTACACCTTCCTGCATTACAGCTGACTGTTTATACAGCAAGAGCAAAAACAGAACGGCTTAAAGAGTAAGAGTTGAAAGTTGATGATCGCTTCAATCCAGTTTGACTGAGTTTAAGCTATTCTGCTTAGGAAAACGGGCAGAAAAAACATTCTGCAGATGTGTGCAAACCTGGTAGAGAGAGAAAAGAATATCACCTTTCAAATATAGTGGTTGTTAATTATTTTAAAACTGTAACCTAGCCTGTTGATGCCTAAGCTGTAAAGCAAAGGTAAAGAAAACAAAACGTTAACCTCTATTAAAGTTACATACAAGTCACTGGAATATGATTGAAAGAGGCTCTAGATTTGATTTAGGAGATTCAGTATGGCAAAAAAAAAAGGAGTTGGTATTATAAGATGCAGGTAGGGTTGTAATCAACACCACACCAACCATGACCAAGGAGTACAGAGACCGAGACAAGGCCAAAACCTTATATATTCTTGGCCTCGTCTTGGTACTCTGGTCTCGGTTGGTGGGGTCTTGATTCCAGCACTGCAGGGGTGATCAGAGCAGCTTTTTAATATAAACTGTTGAACTTTAGTTAATCTTATGGTGGGAATTATTTCTAAAATATGATGCAGGAACTGAGATTATATCCTAAACTTCCAGCAAAGAAAGGATGTTATATTATTTGTTTTTTTTTTAATCTGTAATCCTATCCAAATTTTCCTGAGTGATGGCGTTACCTTTTCAGTGTTTCAAGTGGCTCTTTTCTGCTCATCACACCTGTCTCTGGGTCAACTGTGGTCAAAAGGCACCTAAAAATGATTAAAAAAAAAATTATTATATTTATTTATTTTTATATATATATATATATAAAAGAAAGATTACAGACTGTGGTTGCCTCCGTTCTCATGCAACTATTGCTGTTTTTTTGCCTCAGGAAGAATGGAGTGAATTATGTTCAATTATTGTTGCGAGCAAAATAACTTTTATCAACTCCAGAAATCAAACTTTGAAAACTTTTTAATCCAAATAAGGGTTTTGCTGCTTTCTTAGATTTAATTTTTTGAAATGATTTATTTTTACTTATTTTTTATATGTTTTATTTTAATTTTTTTAATTTTTAAAATTTAATTTTTGCCAGTTTGATTTAATTATTTTCAATTTATTTTTACAGATCACATTCCCTTCTTTTCTGCGGGCAGGCTGTTCTCCGGATGCCTTTCTATTGGTCTACTCCATGTTAGCAGGAACATTTTTATTAGGCATGGGTAAAAAGAACATGTACTGTATAAATGAAACACAATTTGAAAAGAATGCAATTGTAAAACTCAATCTGAAAAACGAGTTAGGAAAAATAAAATACAAAACGAATCAATTTATTACAAAATGTTTTAGAAACTAAAACTTTAAAAGCAAAAACAATTAAAATAAAGTCTACGTAAGCAAAAAAGTTCCTCTCAAAACCTTTCCTTTGATTAAGACATTTTTCAAAGCCTCATCACTGCATTGCATTTTTTAAATTTCCATTTCCAATCCATGTTTTTTTGCTTGCAACAATAATGGAACAAAATTAATTTAGTAGTGAAGCTCATTTATGACCAGCAGCTGTTTTGGATTCACTGCTTTTTGTAAATGAAGTGGTTCTGAGTGAAGCATCCGACCGTGTTACCTTCCACATGACATTACACGCTGCAGCCTCACGCTGCCAATCTGGATCTCTTCCCAAGAATCCTGAAAAAGCAAAACAGTCGGAGTTAAATTTAGTGCATGCTGTTCGCGTGGAAAATGGCGAGCTATTAGTCAGAAACAAACAACCGAGAG